AACTATATTTTTGTGCATAAACCTCACAAAGTGTCTCCTGGAGTTAAAAACTGTCGTTGCAATATTAGTTGAACAAGATGATTCAGGCACAGGCGAGATCCTTTCACTTAGATTTTCCTAGGTGGGAGCCTGAAAGAATTTATGAAAGAAAWGTATTTTCTAGCTGCATGTTCCTTGGGCTTATTAGCTTAGGCCTTCCTGTGAGTTCCATGAGCCTTTCAGCATTTACATTTGGATCATCTGATCCATTTGTTGTTGTAGCTCATGCAATTCCTTCTATTTCTCTGGTGGTTGAGGAAGGGACTCTAGTAGTCATATTTGTGTTATTTTCAGTCTTTAAAGGTGCATCATCCTTTGTTAAGCTTTTTTACTTTATTGACCAGAAGAGCATTAACCAACTTTCTCCCTTGTGAAGTAATTATGCCACATTAGGAGATCCTGCAGTATGGGAAAGTTTTGACAACTGATCTGTCATGAAGACATGTAACCCTGTTAATATACATTTGGCTTCACTTTCCTGTGTTTAGAGAAATGTAATTTTAAATGTTTGAGCCCTAGAGGGTGTTGGGATTTTTAAAAGGTGTGTCTCTYTGGAAAAGGGAATCAGCTGAAATGCTCACTCAAAATGAAGAAGCAGGAGCTCATGTTCAAGCCCACCTTAGCAATGATGGAGTCCAGGACTCAGAGGAGATGTTTAATCACCAGCCTGTACTGAAGCCTGTACTCTTTTCTCTGAGTTCTCCATGGCTCCTGAGTGGGGTTAGACCAAGAATGTCAGCATGTAATTTGACCAAAGCTGGATTTTGGTGTGCTAATGCATGCCATATAATTTCTCTCTCATTTGCCGTTAGTTTATAAATAAAAGAATGGGTTCTCTGTCAGCCAGACATTTAAATCTCAGTCTAAGATTTTAGAGTCAAATGAAGTTAAAAAATGTGTACATTATGCTCATTAATAAAAATTTTGTGGGCTAATTTTTGATTTCAGTGAACCTTTAGTCATAATTTTTGATGTTATTTTGTTAAGGCAAGACTTGTTGCAAATGTTGTGCAAAGCTGCAATTTGTAATTCTGTAACAATATTCATTCTGTTTTGAACAGAATGTTGCTAATGTTCAGGTACAGTAGCACAGAGGCTCTGCTAAAATTATGTGTTTGTTGCAGGAAAGGGAAATATGAATGGCGGTGCCAGTCTTCAAAAATATTTAGTCTTCAAAAATATTTAGTAAAAGACGCAAACAAGAAAGCTTTGCATTGATGAAGTGAAGGAAATGTGGAAGCAATCGTGGGACATTAGGCAGTGTTGAGCTCGGGACTGGTGAATAGACTGTAAATATAAATCCTAACTCAGCTTCTGCAAAGTGAACAGGTGTTATGGCCTCCAGTCCATTGATTCCCAAAATAAGACATGTGGAAAATTGCTGATCCATGAAACTCCATTAAGAGCTTGGCAGGACCCTTAAAGCATAAACAATTATGCATTTGTTGGTTAAGGACTTAGTAATGGTAAATGGTGATTGGAGAAATCTTAAGAGTTGGTGACAGTCTGCTGATCAAACCCTTTCTGTTAAATGCTAATGTAATTTGTCAAGAAGCGATGGTTTAGCTATCACTTGAGGATTTGGCTCTTCTTCCTCTGGAGCTGTAGCTCAGAGTGAGCAATTTCTTCTCTAGCTATACAGAATACCAGTGAGAACAAGTAGTGCCTGTTTTTTTTNATGTCAATGGTTAAATGGAAAGGTTTCAAGGCAAAGGTATTTACTAACTGGAAAATGAATCCTGAGGCTTTGTAAAAATAAATGACGATAGAAGCATAAATGACACACAAACTCTCTTAAGTACCATAATTTGTTCCAAATTCTCAAATATCTTTGTCCACTGAGAATGCCACTCTGTTGCCTTTTCCTGCAGCTCTTAATGCCATACTAAGAGTCAAACTTTCACAATAAGAGCACTCACTTATTACATTTATTTATTTATTTATGAAATCCTGTGGGTACTATTCAGGAATAGTCACTAAAAGCCCTTCCATTTAATCCTTGGGAGCAGGACTGTAGCGTTTCTTCTTAACAATCTTGTTAAGAAGATATCTGCATGGAACAAACAATATGCTAATACTGCCCAGTGTTCTTTGAAATAAACGGGTCTCTGTCAGGATTAACAGAGAAGACAAAAGTATTTGGGTTTTGTACTGTTAAACTCTAAGAGGCATCAGTGAAGAGCTGTCTGGAAAGAGTGCAGATCATCAGCAAAAAGTCCATTCCATGCGATTGCATTCCATTCCACTCCATTCCATTCCATTCCATTCCATTCCATTCCATTCCATTCCATTCCATTCCATTCCATTCCATTCCATTCCATTCTGTGGTTTTGGGTTTTTTTTGGTTTTGGTTTTTTTGGTTGTTTTGTTTTGTTTTGGTTTTTTTTTTTTTTTTGTTTTTATTTTTGTTTTTGTTTTTTTTTTTTTTAATGTGTTGTTCAATAATGTCTTATTACAAGCCATTGGATATGAATCTAAGTAAAGGATATGTACTGATTATTTAATTTTTTTTTCCAACAGGATGCCTGAAGGGTTTTTTTTTCCTTGCATAACTTCTACTATATTACAACAGGGAAGAAAATTATGGAACACTCGCTGTTCAGGGCAAAGAAGATGTAAGATGGCAATTAAAAAATTTAAGGTAAATGTTTCTTGGAGAAATGTAATTTTGCTCCTTTGCTTATGCATCTGAGAATTAAAACATCTTTCTTCATGAAATAGTAAATTGAAGGGTAATGTGGATTTTTTGTGTTTGTCAAGCATACTATAATCCACACTGTGCAGAATGCCTGATTAAATTTTGTAGCAAATTCTGCTTTCTTCAATCTTTACAGTAGTTTCTGTGACAGTCTCAAAGACATTAAAGCAAGCAATATGAGAAATGATAATATTTTGTATGTAAAATGTTCTTTTTTGTATTTTATTGTAGCTTTAAATTTTGCATGTTTGCTGTATTTTGAGTCATGTCTATATAACATCAAACTAACAGGAAAATTATGAAAATTTTTGTTAATTGGAAATGAAACAATTGAAGATTTGGAGAAGGTTTGGAAGAAATTTAAGTGAGAAAAGTAAGAGTCTAAGAGAAACACTGAAGATCCAGCAGTGAAAAAAAAGGTAATAGTTTGATGGTAATTGATAAAACAGTCATTTTGTCTCTGAGCAGAGATGTACTTATATTACACTTGTATTTGAKTTTTTTTCCTTCTGTGATAGATGCATATGGAAATTTGAACTTTTAATTTAAAATGCAGTTGGGGGGTGTGTTGGTTTTGCTTGGCCCAATTCTTGGAAGTGGGGGGGCCCAAAAAGATGGTGCCTGTGAGAAGCTTCTGGAGGCTTCCACCATCTCCAGCAGAGCCAATTGCTGTTGGCTCTGAGGMTGATGGACATGCCACTGACCAAACCTGGGCYAATTGGAGATGGTGGCTACGCCTCTGTGAAAACATATTTAAGTGGAAATCAAAGCAAATGGAGGGTCACAATAGTTTTGCCAGAGGAGGAGGCTGAGAAATGTGTGAGGGAATGCAGACACCAAGGTCAGTGGAGAAGGGGGAGGAGCTGCTCCAGGTGCCAGAGCTGGGATTCCTTTGCAGCCCATGGTGACGACCATGGTGGAGCAGGCTGTCCCCCTGCAGCCCATGGTGATCATGGGGGAGCAGGCTGTCCCCCTGCAGCCCATGGTGACCATGGTGGAGCAGGCTGTCCCCCTGCAGCCCATGGTGACCATGGTGACACAGCTGTCCCCCTGCAGCCCGTGGGAGAGGGAGGTCCCCACGCCGGAGCGGGCAGACGCCGAGAAGGGGCTGTATCCAGCAGGAAAGCCATGGAGAGAGAGGCCTTGCTCCCGAGATGGAACAGCCTGGCCTTGGGCCTGCACCCAGGGGACGAGGGACCCAATGGTGCAGCAGTTTTGGGATGACTGTCTGCCCGTGGGGGGACTCACACTGCAGCAGATGTGTGTGGACTGCTGCTCGTGAGAGTGGAACCACGATGGAGAGGTTCACAGAGAACTGTCTCCCGTGGGAGGGACTCCAGGGCAACGCAAGGGAAGGACTCCTCTCCCTCAGCAGCCGCAGATCGATCCAGTGATGAACTGACCAACCCCACAGCCTGAACTGACCAACCCCACACCCTGTTCAGCCCCGCTGCTTTGCACTGTCGGTGGGAAGTGGGGAGGGAGTGGGGAGAAGATCGGTGTCTTTGAGGGTTGTATTTTATTTCTCATTCTCCTCCTCTGACTTTGTTAGTAATAAATTCACTTTATAACTTAAGTAGAGCCTGTTTTGTCTGTCAAGTGTTTCCTCCCTCCTCCTTATCTCAACTTATGAACTCTTTTGTAATTTTTTTTTCCTTCACTCTTCTCTGCCCAGTGGTGGTGGAGGAGAGCGAATGGGCAGGTGCTGTGGGTGCCTGGCTTTTGGCCAGCATTCCAAACCACAACTGGGGAAAAAAACTGTGTTTAACTAGATTTTTTGAGTATTCTGAGTATAATCCAAAATACAGGAATAGTCCTGTATCTGGAATACAGGATCTGAGTATACTGGTTGAATATCTGAATAAACGGACCAAATGCATGTTTAGAACATCTTGTACTGTGACCATAAAAACTAAGTAAGGTATTTTGGAAGTCTCTCTTGCCCACTGTAACCTTTTCAATTTGAAAATAAAGGGTATTTCTTTTCATCTTATCCTTTACTATATGGCTGGAAATTTTCCAGCCAAATTAGGCACTCAATGTTACTTGTTCCAAAGTGATTCATGTAACAATGTTAAGRAAGATTGAAACAGGGATCATTGGGATATTCAGACTTCCATGCTAGTGAAATAKCCCCATTAATGTTGCTTTAACCTGATTAATTTCACATAATCGGCTATAAATATCTTTTAATACTCATTAGTACTTTATTTATTTGCTATTTGTTCTATTTTTTTTTTATTTGCTAAAGCCCTGGAAAAAAATTCAGCTTTTATGCCACCAGTGAAGATTACAATACAAATCCTTCGAGCTTCAGAGACTAGAAAAGGACTGTAAAGGGCGTTGTTTATGCAGCGGCTTTTATGTCGATTCTCGAATTCCCCTGTCCTTCATTAACGCTGCTGCAATAGCGGGGGGTTCTGATGCTTTTTCGGTAGCCCTGTGTGCTCCTGTAATGACGCTTTGTAGCCACGCGATGTCAGCAGCTGCCGAGAAAAAAGCAGGAAATAATCTCGCTCCACTGCAATCCGTTTTCATTTGCTTTATTTAGAATACTTAAAAATCAATACATCCTTCAGAACCGTATATACAATGTGCAAAACCAAAGGATTTCTTGTGAACGCACAGCATCTTCAGCAAAAAGTCTTCCTTGCAGGTTACTACAGGGTGAGGGTCTAGAATGGCTTTAGGGAAGATTTATTGGCTTCCCGAGTAGCATTGGGTAGTCGCTGTGGCAGAGGATGGTGTGCCGTACAGTGCGATGATGGTAGGGTTTCAGCCTTTTCTTTTTGTCTCTACTAAATTAGTGACAACAAATCTAAATTGAATAAGGTGTTATTGCTGCAGGGAATGGTTTGGAATACAGAAATGGAAAATATCCTTCCTTTTTACTGCTGTGATAATCAATGTTCTGTCAAGATGTGGGGGAGATGTTGCCTGAAAAGATTTCCCCCCGCTTTAGCCTTTGCTTTTTCACCTCCAACAATACAGGTAAAAAGCATAAGATTGATGCCAAAGTTACTGATCAGGATCTGGGGAAAAAGTATTGAGCTTTGTATAGGCTTAATACTAGCTAATCATTTCACCTCTCTGGTAAAGTTTTAGAATAAATTCTTTTTTGGTGGGATTTTTTTTTTATTTGCTATTTTAACAGTGGGATTGTCACACTGTCACGCTTGAATCTTAGTGTTCCCTTTTCTGAAATTCATATTGTTATTTCTTGCAAGCATTCCATTCTTTCCGTCCTAGATAGTTGTGTAACATTGCTAGCAAACATGCCTCGTGTTTCAGAAGTGACTGCTTTTTAACAGTTTACAGACTTATCTCCATGTATGATTGGCACCAACTGATATTCCTGTCAAACCTTTTATGCAAAAATCCCCATGGACTGGGCAAATTCAACAAATGATACAGACAAGGATCAATTTACTGATCACCAAGARGAGAGATGGAGATTAAATATTAGGAAATACTTTTTAGCTGTAACACTGATTAAGTTGAAAGAACAAACTGCCAAATGAAGTTGGGTAATTGCCATCACTAGAGATTTTCCAGGCTATGAGTATGCATCCATTTAGCAGGGATGGCTGAAAAATAATGCAGTCAGTTTTGCCACAGTTCAGAATTTGGACTGAATGACTCATATGCATGTTTTATCCCAAGTAATTTTTAAAATTTCTTCCTACTTTACCCTAGCTAGGGATAAAGCAGCAGGGATGTCAGCAAAAAATCAAGTAACATTTTCTCTCAGCGTGTGCCAAGCCTACATGAAATAAGAAACAAGTTGTAGTGAGCGAGAAGAAAGCCCAGATTGATGTGACCTTTATTATTTTAACAGTGTCTTTCAGCACAATTACAGAGTTGCAGGATTGCAGAGAACAGAGCTGGAGTATAAAATAACATAAATAAATAGAACAGGAGCCAAAGCAGTCACCAGGAGGTGGTTGGAATTGGGCAGTGAAGGATGGGTGAAGGGTTTGCATTGGTCAAAGCCTTTATGATTCAGCCACCATAGTTGCAAATTCTGGAGAAGGGAAAGAATTTTTTAAAATATTAAAAACCCAAAACTTAAAGAAAGAGGAAGCATATTACAATGAATACAGAGTCCCTGGTGTAGCAGAGACATCACAATAACAGAAGAGCAAAGAAATCTAAGTTAATTAAAGGGAAAGTATGATTTGGGAAATCTTACAGTGAAAAGCAAAGATTTTTTGAGAGTCAGGGAGAAATGCTGTACATGCTAGGCTGCAAGACTGTCCACCAATATTCATCTGAAAAGCTTGATTAGTTCTCAGTTGTTTTTTTGTAAATCTCAATGGGATGAAGGCAAGAACTATAAATTTAATCTTGCAGTAAGATAAATTTCTTTTGTATCAGAGTTTGGCAAAGAGAATCATTAATGAGTCTTTCAAAGTATTCACATCCCATATTATAATTATATTGCATTAAAACTCAATTTTGTAATTGTAAATTAAGTGAAAATGACAGATTGCAAAAACAGAAGGCTGGTACCAATCTACATAGCAATCTTGACCATGTTGTTGGGAATGAGAAAAATTCCTGTGGTGTCAGAGGGTCAGGATTTTACTCTGTGGCTTTGCTAAGTGTTACATCCATATTATTTACATAAATGTATCTATCTGCAGTTTGGGGTTGTTTTATGCTTTAGTATAGATAATGCCTTTCAGCAGGCAGATAAAGCATGGAAAAAGCACATTTGTATCCTGGTGAATAGCTGCCTGGTCATAATTTCTAACTTCAACTAATCTTGGAAGAGTTACACAAGAGAATACCTTGCACAGTTGTATGTGCCTCAGAGCACTGAAAATGACAGACTGGAGGGAATCCCAAGAAGGGGAGCAAAGACGATAAAGGGATTAGAGGGTATGTAGAGAGAGTGGTTTATGGGTTTAACATAATCAGCTGAGAGGAAAATGACAAATAGGGGAGGCTGTCGTCTGTAAAGGCTTAAGAAAAAATTACTGAAGTTTGACATAATGAAGAGTAATGTCTGGCAACTAAAAAAGATAGAAGATGAAAATCAGGCATTTGAAAGAATATTCTAGTGTTCAGTTGAAAAATGCTAAACGCTAAACAAGTGAGATCTTAATTGACTGTTGTGTGCAAACAGATAGCACTTTTGATGATGTGTCCAAAAAACATGTTGCCAAATGAAGACAGACCCGACTGAGAAATAAAAGTGTCAGAGGGTTTAAATTAATTCTAAATTTATCCATAATTTTGAAAGATGTAAATCAAATTAGGATTAGTAATGCAGATTATTTAACACAAAACATGTATAAATCCTGTACATGGTGGGTATATAGATTCAAAGTGCTGCAAACTGAATTTAGGAGACAACATAAAATGCTTGTGATAAAAACTACAACTATTCGGTGCAGAAAAGGAGAAAGGCTATAATTACTAAATCTCTGTGTGAATMAATCCTGCAGAGAGAAACCTGAACTGCAATGGGTGCAACATTTCCAAAAGGGAAAACTAACTATGCATATACTGTTAAAACAAGTTGTCATGCTTATTACAGCTAAATTAAATCCCTTTTGTAATAATTTGTATCTACAGAATATATTTGGAAAACTTATTCAGACTTGCAGCCAAATATTTTCTATAATACATTTTGATAGTGGTATTATCACTTAATAGCAATATATTTCACAGGTACTTTCTGATAGCCAGCAAACCATAAAATACTCCTTCTTGAATAACTGCAACACAATTTAACTTTTCCCAGAATTTTCAATGTATTTCAAGTATTTCAAAAGTGTTCTAGTTGAATAATCTTGTAAATTAATTCACTACTTGTTTTTGTATGAACTTAAGGCCAATCACAGGTGGCTTGTAGAAGCATTGTTACAAAATGTATTCATATATGCAAAACTTCTGAGATAAGGCACTGTATATTTGTCCCTTGTAAATGGTTTTTTCCTCTGACTGGCCTGTTAGTGAGAGAATCCTCGTGATTTACTGCATCCTTGGTTCTGGTTGTAGTTATCCTTCCAAACAAAATTAAGTTATGTCTTTTTTTGCACAAATAGTAGCTTTAAATTGCAAGAATTTAGACCATTTTGTCCTGTAAAATAAATTTCTAGTTGTTTTGTGTCAGAGGTCTGAYTTCAAAGGAGAGGATTGTTTCACTGTGTTCAGTACAGTTCAGTACTATACACCAGCCTAATGCATGCCCTCTAGTATTTCACTGAAATGACAGCCCTGATTACAGAGGACATGTAGGCTCAGGATTGCTCTCATTAGATTGTTTTTTTTAAATTATCTTTGCAATAGCAAATATGTTTGAGAAACTTCACAAGCAATGACTTACACTAATTTATTTTAGAAGATAGAAGAACAAAACAGGATAAGAAAAGAAGGACTTCCAAAAGATTTCTCTTTTTTGTTATGGCTTTCACCTGGCAAGGTCATGACTTAATAGCTGTAATTTTGAATGCATAATGTCACATTTTTACAACATTTAAAGGAAATAATTGAAATATTTAAAAATGTTTGCAGATGTTAATTCCTGCATGAAGTAAAAGATTCTGATTTACAGGGATAAAAATTTGGATTTGTGCTGCCTACAGTGCAAAGTTCTCTGTGTATTTTCTCAAGTCTGTTAATATCAAGCAACTAAAAGGCATGTCCAATGCCAATACACAAAACAGATTTAAAACAACATTGTGACCAGAAATTTTCATTTTCTTTTCCCCTTTTTCTTACAAGTATTTTCCTGAAGCTGGCAGAGCTGCTTCAGCATCAGTTTTCATCCCAATCTAGAAGCTAAGGTTGGTACTGTTGTTAGGTATCCTGGCCTTGACCTGCAATATTTTTCATTTTCATCATCTTCTGACCACATTGGTGGAATATGGAGGGGGTTTGATGCTGCACAGAAGGTGGTCGTGTCTTACATGAGCTGGCTGCAAATTTTCAGCTCTTTGAAACAGGTCCATCGGCCACAAATTACAAGTTGTGATCAGATAAGAGGTAAACTGGTGAAACTATTTCAGAGATTTATGGTCTTGCAGGAACGAGAAAAGRTTTAAAGCAAGAGACCTAAGACAAATTTTGTAATGTGAGATCCCAGCTAGAAGAAGGCTGATTAGGTTGGGATTAATATTTGTCTGAGAAAGTTGTCTCTGTGGTGTTAGAAGTCCCTAAAGATCAGTTATTACAACTGCTGTGGGCTCTTGTTTGACAGCATTCAAGGGCTCTCAGGAGAATTAACATTAACCCCTGTGAAAGGCTGCTTGTTTGCAATCCTTTAGTGACTTAGGAAGTGGATGTTTGAAACAAGGGGTAGAAATGATGCCTGACATTTCAGTTGCAGGGAAACAGAAATGATTTGCAACAAAAATACAGCATTGCAATACCGAATGTGAACGTGATATACATTCACAACTTTGCATTTTATTTACATAGGCAGTTACATTCTTGAATTGGATTTATGGACCAAAGGAAAGCTGGGAAGTATCTGTCCTCCTTTCCCTTTGGTCACAGTCCCAACTGTTAGCTTTTGTATGTATTTGAAGCCTTTCCAGTGTAAAAATTTACTGTTAAAGTTGAATTTAAGAAATTAAAAAGAAACTGGTAGGGGTGTACAGTAGGGATATGGGCAGAAGAAGAAGAAAAAAAAAGCACATCATTCTCTTCTCATTATCAAGTATAAATGCAGAATAATTCCATTTCAAAGTTAGGGAACAGTAAAAGCTGCAGAAGAAAGAGATAAGGAGAAGAGGCATTTCACATTGCTTTATTGCAATGTAATGGATTTCAGGCATTGTTTCAAGAAAAAAGTTTGGTAATCTTAAATATAAACGTTAATGCTGTATTTTCTTGTACAAGCCAAAATCATTATGCAACATAGTTCTTTTATAGTGACTAAGACTGGTTTTGATTTGCAGCCTTCTGGAATAGCTGATMATTTATCTGACATGAGGCTGGTGGATCAGCTGTAAGCTTACTTACCTGAATGAAGTTTTTTTTTAAAAAAAAACTTGCCCAATGATTTTACTACTACTGTCACTAATTTTAGTGTATATAAAGAAGACTCAATATAATCAAAATTGTGAAGCTTCAAGTAATGACACCTATGTTTGATACAGCAGCATTGCTGAAGTTTAGCGGGAGCTTCCCCTAAACCATAATATAGTCATGATTGGAGAAATTAAGAGGCTTTGGTCTAAAAACAGGGCCATAATCACTGATATGCCAGTGTGCATCACCTGACTCATATGTCAATGGCTGATTTAGTGTGTCATCTTCTAAGCTGGGAGACTATATTAGTTAACTGTATTTTGCATTTTATTTCTCTTTTAATTGACTTTTTTTGAGATAATATTTTTTACAAACCACAGAGATTAAGTAAGACAGACAGATATGAGGGGTTTAGGTATTTTTTTAGATTTCAACCTATGATATGGCTTATTGGTATGGCGAAACTCTAGCAATTGCCTGCTCTGTAGGTGATTTAGTACTCTGCTAGCCACAAACTTCTGCTTCTATCTCCTGCAATGAGGAAAGCTTTATAATTGCATCTCTTGTCTCCTAAAATGTGTTTCATTCACTCTCACCTCCCAAAAAGAGGAAAAAGGAGAAATTTTGTACGGGGGCTAAGCTGATTCATCCCAAGGAGGCATAGAAAACAGCACTAGCTTTTTAAGCAAGGCTGTGAGGAAAAGTTGTTCTTTTTTTGTATTTCTCAAATTCAGTATAAGGGAGTGACAAGCTTTCTTAGGTGTGAAGACCCACGTAAACACTAGCATAAGCTGGATAGACTGTTATTGTATAGAAATTCTGTAGCAAAATGGGTGTACTTTGRATTYTGAAAGCATTGCTTTGCACTMCTTTCCTGCTAACTRTCATCCAGCTGAAATCCTGGCAACTAAGMTTTACTCTTTCCAAGCTTTATGCTCAAGCCTCGGCCTCTGAACTCGCAGTGTYCTGATCCTCACTCCGCTGGTATACCAACTGACAAACTACAGTAATTGAAGTAGATTTTGGCTGGGTACTTGGTCCTGTGCTGCGGAGTGCCCGACCCACAGCCCGGTTCTGTGAGCTCCTGCCCCCTCTAGTGTCACAACGCGGCTCCTCTTCTCTAACGCCTCCAAGCAAGTTAGGGCAAATTGAGAAGGACTTGGCATTTCATTAAACCCAAACTGTGCCCTTCAGAAGGTCACAGCCACCAGTGATTCCTAGGTTTCCTCAGTTCTTGTGTGTAAGAGTAATATTCGGTTGTTACTGTCAAAGTTAACTCCTCTAATTACATACCATCAGCGCCAATTTTACCATCACCGTCCTTATCTCCAGCAGCCAGAAGAGCCTTCGTTTCTTTGTCTGATAGGTCTCTTCCTTCTGGAGTAAAGCCTTTCAGTACAAACCTAAATAGGAGATACGGAAAAAAAGGAAGGTTTGTTTGGGATTTTTTTTTTTTTTTGGTTGGTTTTGTTTGGTTTGGGTTTGGCTTTTTTTCTGCAGAAAAATTACACTTCATATTTATTTGTACCACTGATTTGAAACACAAGTTGGAATCCAGGACTGTGTCTTCTGTTATTGACCTTCTTTAACATTCAGGAGAAGCACTTTACTCTGAAACTGCATTTGACTGAAGAACTATTTATAAGGTATTGACCATTCATGTGTTTCAGGGAACTTACTATCGAAGTGACAACTTCGCTATCTCCAACACTCTTTAGATCATAYACTCAGCAAACAACTGGCATAGCACACAAATACTAGTCAAGAGGTTGAACTGTATGTTACTACCCAGAGTCTTGTGAAAATAACCCACAGGATATTAGACTCTTAAGGTGGGGTTATTTGAGAAAGGATGTAAATTAACTTACTTCAATTCTTCCTCTTCAATGAAGCCGCTCCGATCTTTATCAAGAATATGGAAAACCTTCTTCACATCTTCTGGGCTCTTCTTTTTCAATCCTACCATCTCGAAAAACTTCTTGTAGTTAAAAGATTCAGCCGCTGTAAGAGATGGAAAACCAGAGAACTGCTTAGAAAAGTAATTGAAACATACACCAACATATACCCATGGTTTTCTTCCATGCTGCTGTTTTTCCTACCCTGGGAGGAACAGTCGAGCCCAGCTGTGCTAGGAGCTGGATATACGCAGTGTAAACGTCCGTGCTTCACAGGTGCTAATGGAAATAAACAAAGGGGCAGAAAGGCAATATCTTCGCTTTGCAGATGAAGAGCTGAGTTACAGAAGGATGAGACTTGCCCAAGGTCACACAAGAAGTCTGTGATAGACTTGGGAGATTTGGGAGCAGAGGTTTGATGAGCTTGGTCTCATTTCAGTGCCTCAAACCTTTTTTTTTCCCCTTTTTTTTTCTTTCCTAGGTTTTACGCTAGAACAGACATGAGAGCGGACTGTGACTATTAAATAGCTGTCACTTTTTGACATTTCCAGCCCTGGAAGAAAAAACAGAAMAAAAATGCTCTTGCTCAAGCATTGTCGAGAAGTGTTTCAGAGTACTGTTTTTCTTCCTGGAGACTTACTRGAAATCAGTGTGGCATTTCGACCGCTAAAGGAATGTGCAATCGTGGTGTGTGAGCTCAGACACTGCAAGGGAGTGCTGYACGGCGCGCTGCCTGCAAGATCTTGTGAGGAGCTGTCTCCGGGGAGGAAAAAAAAACAAACAACCCAGAGCCCTTGAAATCGGAGCCGAGTTTACCTGCTTCACCTCCCTCGTCCTTTAACCGCACCGGCTTTTGTCTCAGCCAGGTAGCCTAACAACTGTGATGTGGATTAGAAATATCGTACGGTGACCCCTAAAAAGTGCGGCGGACTTTTTTTCTTTTTCTTCCCCATGCATTCTTATTCCCGCCGCCTTAAATTTTCCCGTAACATAAAATTAAGGAGGCTCAGTCTTTCGTGATCTGCCTGACTGAGAGCTGTCATTAGTTGCTGCTAATTGCATCTGCTCCGGGACTTGGAGATGGCCACAGCACAATGGAAGCTAATGAGTAAAACAGCTGCTGGATCCAGCAAAGCAATTTGTCGCTCCCTCTGACTCTCCAGTTTCTGAGCTGAGCCGGGCTCAGCGGGTCTTGCTCTTCTGTCTGTTCGGGAAGGTCATCGCACAGAGCAGGACAGACAGAGGCGGCTCCCCGGGATGGTGCGGTCAGCCGGGTAGTTTGGGGGAGGGGGGATAACGTGCATCCCGGAGCGCGATTTCTTTGAGAGCAACCTTAACTACATGAATCTATGTAAGCACGAAGAGGGTTTGCTGTCAGTTTTAGGGGTCGCGATGAATGAGAGGCATAGGGAACCTCTGATACCCGCAGGAATGTGAGAGGGAAGTGTGGACCACTGCAGCCATTCGACCTGCAGGGAGCCCCTGCAGTCGAGCAGTGCACCCGCTTGCTSGACTGTTGCCTTCTGCTCCATCCCGAAAAGCAAAGCCCACGCGGGGGTTCTGCATAGGAAGGACAASAGCGATTTCTTATATCCCTGAAACGGGAAACAGCAGTTCTGTAACATTTGAAACTAAATTGCAGAAATGAGTGGGAAGCTTCCGACATCCACTGCTGACTCCTCTATCCCACATAAAGATATAATGCAGCCTGGTTCGCCGAGGGGTTTGTTACCTTTGAAGGAGCAAAGTCTGTCTGCAGTCACTGCTTGTTTTCCTTTAAAATAAATATTTCACTTCTCTAATGCAGGACAACTTTGCTGAGGATGCAGCCTTGTACTTCATAAAACTGTCAGAAGCATTCATTGAACATCTGAAAACACATCCTTATTTGAAATTTTGTCTAGCCAGTTCCTCTAATCTTCCCCTAGCTAAAATAAATGCACAGCTATCCTAACCTGAAGAGATGAAAGGAGGAAAAGAGAGAAAAAAAAAAAAAAGAAAAAAGCACTCACCTGAAAAGGCTCCCACAGCCTTCTTGATATCCTCAGCGCTGAGCAAGTCAGTCATAGCCATCCTGCAACTGTTTGAACAGGGAAGCAAGTGCGAAAAGATTAAAAAGTGCTTTTCTCATCATTTCTGCTCATATGACCAAAGCTGCAGTGCTGTGTGGGGATGGCACACCGGGAAAGGCTGGACTCGTGCCAGTTCTATAGCTCTGCGTGGATAAGTGCCGTGGGCTGTCGCTCTCCAATTTGCAGAGCACCAAGTAGTCGACAGACGCGAGGATTCAGCTAAAGAGAGGGCACGGGGATGCCTTTTTGGGGACTGGGGTGGGGGGAGGACGTGAGGAGGGGTCGCTCCCTAGGAGGATGGAGTCTAAGCCTTACTGGAGCGGTGCCAGAGTCTGCTGTGATACCGGCTGGAGAAAGAGTTTTGCCAAGGTCAAGTCCTCGGGTGCAGTGGACTGGTGGTGCAGAGCAGAGCCTTTTCCTTTAGTAAGTCAGGATGAGCTTTACCAGTTATATTCGGTGATGAGCAAGGAATTGCAGCATATGCCAAGCTTCAAGCTGCTCTTGAGGTCGGGAAGCAAATGCAATACAGCTTTTGAAGATTTGCCTTATCGTTCAACCACTTTAAACATCTCCCCCTTCTCCCTTCCCCCTCCCCTTCACACACATATTCCTTTTAGACCTTGTTTCTTTCGGGCCAGTCCATATTAAGCCTCATCCTCACTGAATTAATTATCACATCCCTGCGAATCCTACAGATCCCGTTTGTAATGCACAATATGCTGCAGAATCTTCTGTGATAGGTTATGGCAAAACGAGATGCGAGGTGGCAACATGCTCGTGAGGTGCTCCTGTGCAGTAGTGGGCTTCTCTGGCAGGACCGAGCACTACTCATTAGCGTAAAAAAAAATGAAAGGCATTTAGTATTTGTAATGTGTTTTCCAGGGTTATTCTTTTTTCTCCAAGAATCTGTGCCCATTTTTCACATAAAATATGGCAAGTAGTCCAACTTGCTCTCAGAGTTTGGGCAGGAGCCATTAGGCTGAGGTAGCCAAGGTTAGAGCCCAGTAGTAGGGCAGATCTCTGCAGGAATATTGGCATCGCTGCTCCAGGAGAGACGGGGGAGGACAGAGCGGTGGCAGCGAGATCCCCGGGCGCGATCAACGGGTACGGCCCGGTCCCGCTGCCACAGTCACACCTTTCCCCTGGATGGGGCCGCCGGAGAGCAGCCTCGAAGAGGGGGCGGCTGGTGCAGAACCTCGGGTCGTGCTGTCAGTAATTGCTCAGTGCTTTTAAAAGTACAAGCCCCATCCTTTTCTTTTCCCCCCCACGGCCCAAGTTCAGCTATAATGGGAAAATCATCACCATGCCACTGAACACAGAAGGATGGAGGAGGAGGTGACATTGGGGTCCTCCTTTTTTTTTTTCTCCTTGTCTTTCTTAAAAGTTATCTCTTCACTGTGGGAGGGACTGTCGTTTTTCACTCGTTGGAACTTACCTCCCGGCCTCCCTTTTCTGTGTATTTCCTGAGACACAAGAGATGATTAGTTTTCTCCAAGGACAAACAAGGAGATGGATGGTGGAGCCAAGTCCCTCTCCCTAGGCTGAACGCATCCTTCTCTGATCTACAGGGAAGAGGAGCTGAGCGCTGGGACGCTGAACCGAGATAAACATCAGCCCCRCAGAAGAGCTCTGCGACCTTCCCGCATGGGTCGTTCTCGCTCAGCGGCCCCCCGTTGTTTTGGAGCTGGGAGGTGAAAGGGTGCAGCAAAGACAGTACTCGGGGTACTCGGGTCTCCTGCTTAGAGGAGTTCGGCTTTGGGAGCACAGRTTAAAACCCTACTGTTAGTCCGTTTTAAACGTGGGTTAAGTGCAGACCYATCAATATGCAGCTGTTTGCCAGCGATCAATGTATCCTATCTTACGAAACTGACGTCTCTTTACTTTTCCTTAACTGAGGGAAGAGGGCAGAGTCTCTTGCTCTCAGTGCAGACACCGCCGGCCCGATGCTACATCGCCCTCTGCTTTCCCTACTACGCTGCATGCAGCATCGTGTGGTCTGAAGAAGAGCTGGGCCTCAGTCTCTGCAGGTTTTTCCCCTCTCTTGCGAACTTTTTGCAAACTGTTCGTTGAGCCCCAAAGCTTCCTTTTAGGCCCCTACAAGCAGGAATGCACCTGACCGCCCGCCAGCGAGGATGCTCTCCTGGCGGGTGACTCGTGTTTCGGTGTTAACCCCGCTCTGCTGACAAGGCAGCGCACACTTGGAAGGCTGCCCYCGGGGGGAACTCGAGCCTGCGGCTGGCAGAGGCGGTGCGCAGCGCTGCCCGCTGTGCTGGCAGACGCCGATCAGGTTAACTAGCCTCATGCCAAGCGAGCCGGCCAGAGGCGCATTCCGTGGCTGCGTTCTGGGGATGGGAGCCCCGCGGCTCCCTCCGCATCCCTAACGATGCGCGAACTGCCCCTCTTTCGCCTCCGTCATCGGATCTGTCGGGCCTCTACGGTCTAATCATGCTGCGGAGGCGAAAAGTGAGAGGTGTCAGAAAAATGAGGCTTCAGATCAGGTGGAGCCATCTGTAGAGCGTAAATAACATTTCCCCCAGCTCAGAAGCGGTGTGTACCCTCCGCAGCCAGAACGGGGAAAGCAGCGACACACAGGTTTGCGAAGCAGGCAGCTGGGATCTCACATGGAGGAGCGGCTGAGGCCCAGTTCTAACCTCAGCAGCGTCTCTCTTTAAGGACAGCGAGCAAACTTCCAGAAGCTTTAAACCACCAACCTGTAGTCAAAACTGTCATTCTAATAAAAAAAGGCGTTTCACGAATTGACAGTTTCTTACTCGACCCCTTCATCTTTTTCTCATCATCCTTGCGAGATGAATGACGCATTTTCCTTTATCTCTGAGATTTTGCCAATTTTCCTGCCCGAACTATTTGCAAAATCCACACTGTGGATTTCCAAGTAGTCTGCACCAAAACTTTTGTGCAGATCAACTCCCCCTTCCACCAGCGCCAGAATGATGATATTGTTACTAAGTAAATGACCAAATAAATTAAGTAGAAATCAGCCAACCTTCGCCAAAAGCAACAGTTCAGGGAGAATTTCCTGAACGGCACGAAGCCTTCATATCAGAAGGTGAAGCAGAAAGACGGCAGTCCTTTGCAAAAAGTGACACATTTCCTTTAGCTTTTTAGTGACCACGTCAAAGACAGCAACTTCATCCCATTGCTTGCGATCAACTGTGCAGAAAGAGAGATGCTATTTCCCGAAATCTTTTGGATTTTTTTTTTTTTTTTTTTTTTTTTTTTTTTTTTTTTTTTTTTTTTTTTCTTTTTTTTTTTTTTTTGCTTCGGTTCACAGCTGGCCATTTCAGTAAATTCTGTTCACGAACCCTTGCTCGGTTTTCTCGTTAACTTTCTTCCCTCCCTTTCCCAGTTTTGTCATTTCCACCTTCTCCCCCGCTTTTCTCCTCATTCCCCCTCAATGTGTTCACCTATTTACTCCTTTTAATGGTCTATTCTTCTCATTTGGAGTCTTCTCTGCGGGAAGTCATTCCTCAGTTTTTGGAGATTTGCATCTCTTTGTTTCCGGGCTTTTGTTTGTGGAAAGGGGGATGGGGTTGGAGTGATGGAACATATCCTTATCTGCGAAGGTCCTGCTTCTTGCCCGGAGCTGGTGAATCCACGTTTGCTGTGGAAATTGGAGCATTTTCTTGCTACTTACCTCTTGGATCTCTCGTAAGCACGCTTGAAAAGGTGTTAGATAGGGAGGTCGTCAAAAAGAGGTGGAACTCGGGGTAGGAACCCCTCTTATATAATCTCTCTCACTCCTATTTTCGGCAGGTGATACCCACTCCTCACTGGTATCATATATTCAGGGGTTTTGTTGGCGGTGTCACATTTATCTTTCCCTTAACTAATCGAGGAACGCTATTAATAATCCTTGGCGCTTACCTTCCTCTGGCTGCGAAAACCTATTACATTGGCAAACTGATGGCCCGCTTGAAACTTGAATGTTTAGGGAAGAAGTAAGCAGTGTCAGTGAGCTGTTAGGGGACAAATAGGCAAATAACAACGATAAAAATGCCATAGAGCCTTTTTTTCCCCATTGTGTAATCAATCTGGGAATGCTTTTCCTGATATTTAATGTTTTTCTGTCAAGGAAAAACATTTTGCGAAGGACCGTGAATCATAAGTCAGATGAAAGTGTCATCGGGGAGATCACGATGCATCAGCAAGTTCAGTTCGGACTCTGCTCACGGAGGGAATGGGAAGACGTAACTCCCTCATCAGCATGAGGGAAAGCAAAGACTGGCTCCAGAGTTTGCCCTTTCCTCTCTTTAGCCTTGGCAGATACTACTTGAAACAAAATAGAACAGCTCTAAATTGCCTCCTCACCTGAAGCTGCACCATTCAGCTTTACCACTTGGCTTTGAAGGAAGTCAGAAATCATTTTTTTTCCCTGCAAGTAACAGCAAACTCAATTCTGATTGAGCGTAATTCTGATTGCTCATTTTTACATGGGCRTGCAAAATCTGCATTCAGGGCCCCATTGGGCAAGGTACTGTTGAAGTCTAAAAAATTTACAACTTGAGCTTTCTTAGGACAGACAGGGAATTGTAAATGAAGAGATCCTATATGTACAGCCATAATACATTGACCGTAACCTTTTCAGCATATAAATTATCTTTGTGCCGAGTTGCTCATTCCAGGGAAAGACATCTTTGAAGACACTTCTATTTTTACTCTGCCAAGCAATAATAACAACAATAAAAATGCCATTGAAATGTGTTTGGCATTCTGTAGTCCATCTGGGGACACGTTTCCTGATATTTAATGTTTTTCTGGCAAGGGAAAATATTTTATAAAGATTACGCATTGCATTTATCTGTAGCACATTTATGAGTAAGAAAGATGTTTTTTTTCTGTTTCAGCAATAAAACCCAACATTTCTCAGGTTGAAAAAGAATCAAGTTTTGTGATACAATGGAAATGATCTTTTGGAAAGTCAGGGGCTGCAAAAGTGAGACCTGATTTTTCTAGCTTGGTTAATTGATCCTAGAAGTGAAGAAAGATAGTTGAGGTATGTATGGGATAGGAATATTAAAAATAT